TTTTGTGGTAATTTGTTAGTAGATAACATCGTTAATTCATAAAATTCATTGTGAAATCAATACTCAGCTCATCACTCTATCTATTGCCTTATAACAGATCCCACAACACTTAAAGAGTGGGTTTATCTTTCCCTTTGGGTAGACTATGCTTGCACTAGTTCTCACTACAGTAGTATATGGTTTGTTAAGTAGTGGTCCACTTTGGCAGAAAATAAAAAAGTGAACTATTTTACGACATTACTACAAATAGCATCAGGTGTTTCATCTTTTTCTTGGATCACCATTATGCACTATGATGATGTTGCTAGAATGCCACATGAAATGGATGGCAAAAGAGGTACAAGTAAAACACAATAGATGCTCATGTTTGTAACAAAATTTGATAGCTGCATTATCAAGAGAGAAAAAAAAAACATACCTAAAGGTGAGATGGTGATAGATATTTATGCGAGAATAGGTGGTTCACTAACCTTTAGATGATTGCTAGCCATGTCAATTAGGCCAGCATTCAGTTCATTATTCTATTTTTGCCTTTTCTGTTTAAGCTGAAAATTTTCAACTTTTCTTTGAGTCTTCTAGTTTGAAAAGGTGTCTCGTTACTTTTTATAGAGAAAAATGTTAAAATATTTTTTTTCTAGAACATTTTATATTATGCAATAATGTTGAGAGGAAAGTCTAACAAGTGTAAAACACCACAATGTAACTCAAAACTTTAAAGTAATAGGTGTACGAATTGTTTTCTTTATAAAGTCTTAGTTAGTCATTGGATTTGACGTGAATTATAATTTACTTAACGATACTTTTTTTAACTTTACACCTTTTGTACATGTCACCTAGATTGACACAGTTCTAATACTACAGGTGGAGAAGGAAGTAAGAGAGAGAAATCTCGCAAGTATAAAACATTACAATACAATTTAAAACTTTAAGAAAATGAGTGCATTAATCTTTATCTTTATATACCCTTAATTAGTCTAAGTTACATTTCCATATAAGTGTCTCTTCTTATTTACACTTGATTTCAACAAGTCAAACTTTTACAAGTCTCTGTACAAAATGAATGGGATGCGATACTGGCTTGACGTGTTTCTATTTTGATTGAATGTGTTGGTGCTGATAGTAATTGGACTAAAAGTTATAAATGAGATTTTTCTAACGTTTTAATTGATTTATTCAAACAATACTAAAATAAGAAAGAAAAAAAAAAACAATTTCATAAAAATCAACGGAAGAAGATAGGCTTAAATAAGATGAAAATGTACTCATCGACATGCGGATTGTCGTTCATAAAAAAAAAGAAGAAAAATTATAAACTTTATTAAACAATATCGAACACATTTGAAGTTAAACTTGTTATATATATCCGTTTAAGGTTTGATCGATTTTCTAAGTCCTTAGTTAGTTTAAGTTGATTATCGTAATTTTAGCTAAACGTCGCCAAATGTTTAAATCTATCATTTTCTTCTGCTTCCATAATTTCATTAAATTCACTACAAAATTCGTATTGATTATTTTATTTGGCTTTTCTTTCAATGATTTTCAACCTCATTGGCGGATTTATGCTTCCCTTGCGGTGCCGTGCTTTGATTATATACAGACTTGTAATTCTAGACTTTCAAACTGCATGAATTACATCAATGAGCTGTGCATGCTCAATAAATGGAGGGGGGAGTCATATAACTTCGAGGTAGGTTGAAACATTAATAGTGGCCAGTTTACCTTCTTACAAACTAAAAAAAAGCTACAAATTCCCAATTATAGATTAGAAATGTTTCGTGTATATTTAATGTCAAAACATCTTTTATTATTTTGTTTAATTAGCGATGAAGTTTCACACATAATATTAATATCAATGAATATTAAAAATACTTAATAACAGTATCACACATGATAATCGAACTGAGATATTCAAACTAAAATTAGAAGAAACTAAATTTAGTACGGATGACAGGTCACGAAACAACCGGCTGGTCAACGTTAAAGAAAGGTAGAAAATAGAAAACAATTATGGAAATTAAAAAAATTTAAAGTGAGACCTAGTACGAGATGTTGACCATAATTTTTATTTTTTATGATTTAGATTAATTCATGAATTTTCAGTTTAATATGTGATTTTGAATTTTAATTTTTTTAAATTAAGAGCTGGCTTCAATTTGATTAACAATTGGATTTGTTTTTTAAGAATTGTGTATATGCCGACCCCTATTAATTAGGCAATATTCACATGTGTGACTCATTGTGTATGAGTCTTACAAGGCTTTCGATTTCTGGGTACTAATTTGATTAATTCTTTGTATTTGGACAATAACAGGATATGGTAATATTTATCACGTGTGGGGAAAGTCACTTTGTTTTTATTACGTAGAGGGTTTATTCAACATTGTTAGATAGTGTATTTTGTATTGGGTTTGAGTATTGTTATTAATTGTTTATTAAGTGTAGGCATAGATAGGATTTAGGGAAGAACCATATGGTGTGTATGTCGAGTGCAACCGAAACGTGAATAACAGATTTCATTGAATATGTGTAGCCTAACAAGAAAAGACATGTGGGAATCGTAGGAAACCGCAGGTTGATTGATTTGCAACGTAACCAGGTGGATTTAATTGGTCAAACTTTGAATCCATGAATATGCATGTTTGTAAGATGCGAAACACGACAAAATCTACCTGTGAAACATCATTAACACAAGCATTTAATTACTTGAGTTATTCCATTCTCAATTTCTTAATTAAGGAAGACTGAAAAGTCGTCTATGTGAAATTGGTTTTTTCCACAGCAACGTCTTTGTTTTGAATGAAATTCTGAATATTTTAAATATAAATAATAATTTAATTAAGTCACTCCAAAGAAATAAATCGTTGTTGTAAATGGAAAATATTATAGTTTCTTATTTAATTAAGCTTTTATTTTAAGAAGAATATTTTGAAAGAAATCTTTCTTTTATTTTAAATATGCACCATGTCACCTTTTTGTGGATAATATCGGTAACACATAATAATTACAATAATAATAACAATATTAACAAATAAAGACAAAGTATTTAATACATTATTTTAATATTTTCATTCTAAATTGTCATTATTATTATTTTTATTATTTACAAAACAATTGACCCAAAAAATACTCACCAAATTAAAAATAAAAACTTTCACTATTTTTTTTTAAGTCCTATGATTTCTCCTTTATTTAACATTTAATTTTATTAATATTATTTTTATATATTGCACATGTATTATTCAATTAAAATAATTTTTAAACAATTAATTAAACTTATATTACATTATTATTATTTTAATAATTTATTAATATTAATTCAAAATTTAATTTGATTTAAATCTTAATTCTATATACATTGTATTAAGTTGAAGATATATTTATTTTTTAATCAATTAAAATGTAATATTATTGCAATTTTAATCTATCTTAATTGAAATTTAACTTTAAAATTTTAACTTACCATATCTATTTAATTTGTTGTATCTTAATTTTAATAATTAATTTTCACAGATTTTTCTTAAACGTTAATAATCTTACTGAATTTATCATTTTTTAATGTAACAAAATATTCATCATTAACAATAATAATTTAAGAAAAAAACCTGTAAAATATAAAACTTGTCAAAATTATAATTATACATTATCTCAAAATAATCATAATGAAGATTATGTCTTTCATCGAAATATTTTTTCTCCTCCATAGTTAACCTTCTTAACCTTTCCCTCTTTCTTCATTTTTGTTTATCTCACTGCCTCCACTCTAGACAACTCATCCCCTCGTGGGTAAGCATGACTTTGATAATGGTAAATTAATAGAATAGTCTGTTTTTATTATTTTTTTAATGTCCCTATTTCTAACATTTGTATTTGATAATCAAACAAAACCATCTACTTTTTTTTCTATAAAAAGTGAACAAACCAGTTTGAAATATAAAAGGCAACAATCTGTATCGTTTGATAATCAATTGTTATCGTAAATAAATAAATTATTGCATATATCCTATGGCAACAATTTTCTAAATGTATTCCATAAAAATAAAATACAGTGGTAAAATTTATAGCTAAAATGTGTTAGTAAACCATTGTTTTAAAAATAAAGGCAACAATGTTTAAGTGTATTATTTGTCAACAAAATGCAACGTTGTCACGAAAATTAGTAAATCCTTGTGTAGAGGAAACGACAACAATTTTATAATTATATTCTTTGATAATTAAAAGTAACACTTTATAAAAGACAATAGAAAAAACTGTCGTCCTATATATGTGATCACATAGTTAAAAGAGTACTAGAGATATAAAATTTTGATGAAACTTATATATATTCAACCATGTATTTGTAATTCAAATTTTCATTGAAATTATTTATACATATGTTCTAATCTCTATTTCTGTAGTAGTTACCAATCTAATTCGATTTATGACACAATTTATAAGCTCTTACTTCATATTAAATTTACTTTTTAATTAGTAATATAATCAAAATGAAAATTTTAATTAATTGTTTTAATTGATATTTAAATCTGTTTAATGAACATTAAATATAATTAAATTCTTAAATAAATATTTAATTTCACTTATTAAACTTCGTTAAAAATTTTTAAAAATGAAAATTTCAAATACCTATTTTTATTTTTAATTTAAGGTATATATTATAATTTTAAAAGAATATTTCTTTAAATATATTTAAGTTTATTATTTCATATTTTTTGTATATCTATAAATAATGCTGAATTACATGAAACGTTTATTAGTTTATATACTTTTGTTAAGATTAGATGCATTATAAAGTGCTACTATCTTTGGGATTAGGATATTCTCTTTTGACTTGAACTGTAGTCTGCAATTAGTGTTTTTTTTTTGGTGTACTTTTAAACGAAAATGAAACATACACTAAATGCAAACGCAGTTAGCAAAGGATCTAATCTCCATCCTTACAAGATTTTCGTACTTCACTTATACAAATAACACCAGTTGAGGAAAAAAAAAAAGAGACAGTTTTGGAGAATTAAATACTCTTTTTATTATATTGCATGGATACCCAACTAGGTACTTGGATACTTCAAATCTTCTGAGGACTTTTCCTCGAAATATTTGAAAGTTTGTAAAAATAAAAGTGAAAAGTAGAACAGTTAGAAGAATGAGAAAAGAGAAAAAAAGTAAAATAAAAAAAATTATAAAGAATAAAAAGGAACTTAATATTGTCTACTCTCTGGCTGAGACCTCCTTTGTACAATTGACATCCCTATTTGTATGATAATCTCGAGACTTCCACTTTGGTTGTCTCTTATCCCTTTGGTTATATATGTCACTTGATCTCTTCCTTCATCACTTTCTCATGTAAGTTCAAAATTATTCTAATAGCTTTCAAAGCATTATTTCCATATTCAGAAAGTTGCTTCGATGCATGATAAGTTTGCCTGCACCCTTTTGTTTGGGTAATATTTATTTCTTGGTGTATAATGTGATGGGCAATCCATTTTGTGGAAGAGCAAAAGGGCCATACTGAATTCCATCTTTTGCACCTATTACAGTCCACCTGCACAAAAATAATAGAATCTACAATTAGAAACTAGAATCATTCAAAAATTTCTAGTTTTGGATGTGTCTCCACTGAATGCTTGAGATTGTGATTGGTAATAATCCAGTTTACCAACCTGTACTTTGTGGTCAGGTGATGTAGAAGCACCAAAATCTCCAACTTGGCTAATTCATTACCAGGACATGCATGGGTCCCATTGCCAAATGGCATAAAGGTATTGGGTTTTGGAGCAACCTTGCAAAATAATTTAACAGAATCTGTCAAAGTCTGAACTAGGAAATCAGAATCACGTATGCTATCAATAGCAAAGTGAAAAGAGAAGAGGCAAGGAATGCATAAGTTCTGCAGAATAGTGAATAATTACCTCAAATCTTGAAGGATCAAATTTCTGTGGCTCTTTGTAGTGGTCAGGACTGTGGTGTATGTTTCTGAAAAGTGGTAATACTTTCCACCCTTTTGGTATAAGATACCCTGAAGAAAAGTAGTCCCCAACACAAAATCTGTGAGCAAAAACAAGGAAAAAAGAGGAATTCTTGGGTATATTAAAAAAAAGTATCATATCAGATTTGGTAATTGACCTTGATATTCAACATTCTCTACTGCTTCTCTGAAAGTAAAAGACAAAATTGAGGCAACTCTAAGAGTCTCTTGTATGACCTTGGATGTTACAGGCATATTTTTTGTGTCTAACCAATTCAGACCCATTTCTTCACCACTTTCTTCTTTCCCCTTTAATATGGCCTCTTGCTCTTCCTACAAAATTCATAACCAAGAGGTTTTAGTGTGAGCTAGGGAACCAAAAAACCAAGCCACATGCCATATTTTTCAACTTAATTAAAAGGCACAAATTAAAGTCTAATTAAAAGACTACAAAAGTAACTACAAAACAATCTTTCTTTTTTGTAATTGAAAAATTACTTGATAAATCAATCATTAAATAAGACAAAAAGGTAGGACCCAGATGCTTACAGTTACTGCTTCTAAGACAGTGGGATTTTCACCTAGGTACTTAACAATCCAAGTAAGTACACTAGCAGTGGTGTCACGAGCAGCAAAAATGACACCGATGATGTTATCTGCAATTTGCTCATCAGTCAGTCCAGCTTTCTCACCCATGAAGGAACCTAACAAGTCATTGTACTCTTGCTTCATATTCCTCCTTGTTGTGATGATCTGCGCCAAGATCTTTGCAAGCTCTTTCCTTGCCTTCATGGCCTTGTGGAACAGTGTTCCTGGAAGGTTTATGGGCATTGAGTTGTACCCTCTCTCAAGTGTGTAGTAGCATCTTTTCAGATCCTCTCTATACATGATTTCATCTCTTCCAAATATTGAATGTAGAGCGACATTGAAGGTGTACTGCAAAAGAGAAGAACAAGAGTAGAAAACCCTATTATTTATTTGGCAAATCCACAGTAGAAATCAAAGGAGAAATGTAAATGGTTGCTCTTCAAGACGATGTTTAGGTACAATTCTTCAAGTACTTATAATATACTTTTTAAGAAATATCAGAATTTTATCTTGATAACTTATAAAATAAAAGTAATTATTGAAAATTAGTATATATTATAAAATTAAAAATTTAATTCTAATTAAAAAGTAGTACTAAACGTACTTGAGTAACTGCACTGAAGACTTTATTTTTCTTTTCAATCTTTTTTTAATGAACGGAGAAACCGAGGATTTTACTCTGTTTTTGCTCTGTTTTGTGCTCTGGTTAGAGGGCTTACAGTTTTCATTTCAAGGAAAGTTGTTATCAACTTTCCTTCCCATGATTTGAGGCAACTTTGGGCAATGGATTCGATGTCAGAGACGATGTCTTTGATGGCCTCAGGCATGAAGGTGCGAAGAACAAGCCTCCTAAGGTTAGCATGGTATGCTCCTTGGTGAAAGAAAATTGCTTGCTTCCCCAACATCCTCTCTTTGCTAACAGGAAATGTTGGTTTGAAGAGCTGAGCTTTGTTCAGCACAAATCTTGCTGCTTCTGGACTAGAAATCATCACACAAGGACAACCCAGAATGTGGGACTTGAACATAGACCCATATCTATAGAAAAAAAAAAAAGAACAATTAAGCCCAAGCACCATGTAGTGTGTATATGTTAGTGCAAGTGAGCTAGTTAGAAAATGGTTGATTAAAAGACAAAAAAGCTTGTTTTGAACCTTTTAATTTTTGTGGCAAAGAAAACGTTTGGGTCTTGAGAATACATTTGGAAGGTTTCTCCTATGTAAGGCCAACCCATGGTGCCAGGAGGGAGTGGCAATTCTCTCCCTTTGGAAGGGAAGAAAGAGAAAGATTTGATGAGTGATTTGAAGAGAACAATGAAGAGAAAAGAAACAAACAAGCACAACATAGTGCTGAGTTCCATCACTAATGGTTTAGTGTGAGTAGTAGTTAGTTGGGTAGGGTAATTATGGTATGTTGTGTGACACAGGGTTGGAACATTTGAGGTATTTATAGGCTCAAGAGTTAAGAGTGAAATGATATGAAGCACAATGAGAGTGGGGAAGGAGGGAGGTTTTCAATCACAGCTCAATTTCCACACACGGAATCTCTCTCTCTCTCTCTCTCTCTCTCTCTCCAGCTCATTTATTAACCTGTTTGGAACCGAGACAAGAGGGTAACGTAGAGAAATTTAGTTCTTTTAAAAAATATGTAAAAGAAGAAAGTAAAAACTTATCTATTGTTAATTTATATTTAAGTTTTTTTAATTTTATTTTTTATTTTCTATGCTTGATCATTTTATTAATAAAAGAGTGAATACTGGAGAGAGACAAAAAGTCAGCGCGTGTCTGAAGAGTGTATATACGGAGGGATACACATGAAGAGTTGAATTTGGTCACCCCTATGATGGGTGATTAGGAGGGGTGTCTCTTCCAGGAGAACTGCACTCAATACACCAGAATGTTTTCTTTTCAAAAATCATTAGCCTTTAAGAGTAATTTTAAATTATTAATTTTTTCTTAATAAAACAAATTAATATTTTTAAGACATAAATATTTCTTATATTAAAAGTGTATAAATATAATAGTGTTAAAACGATGTGTTTTTTTTATTTTTCACATCATTTTAATGTAATTACACAACTAATCCTTATTATGCTTTCTTTCTCACCAGTAAACGTTAGGCATGACCCAACTTGCGTATGAACGTAGAAGGGACACACAGGACGTAGAGTAAGCAACATCAAATTTTGGGATATTATTTAACCAATTTTTTTAATTAATAAGTGCTTTACAAAGTTAGAAACAAGCTTGGTGTATTAAAATTTTCATGAAATGGGAGATGTGTGTGGTTTGAACATTTCAGCAATGTACTGAGTAGGTTTACAGCTGTGAGTTCAATACTCACAATTCACATTAATCAAATTGCACCCACCTGTCATGATTTTTTCATTCATTTTGTTGAAGGCCTTCATACTCTCAACATAAATTTTAGAAATTTCATTAATTTAAAACTTTATTGTGTGTAGTGCTCTAGCAATGATAAGGACCCCAAATTTGTGCTCAAATGACACTCCTATGTGCCCCAAGGCTACAGAGCTGGGAGTCCACCTACAATTCCAATAAATGTATATATAAATATATGTAAGCGAAAGTAAGATTAGAAAATAAGAAAAAAAATTATAAATCGAGATTTTAAAAGTTTTTTAAAATGATTTTTTTAGTAATAATCAATTGTTGCACAATAAACTATTTAGTTAAAGTGCAATTAAAAGTTTAATTTAAAATTTCTTTTAAGTTAATTAAAAGAATAAAAAAGGTGAAAGAAATGAGGAATACGGATATTTATATTAGTTTATCCCACAACACTGAGTTTATGTCAAATCCTTAACTTTTTATCAAATTTTCTAGGGCAAATATAGTTTTACACTATATTAGTGTTTGAATCTCTAAATATTTGTGAACAAACATTTCCAAGATTAATAACTTAAATATCCTAATATTGCCTCTTTAGACTTTTCTCTCACCCAAGTATTCTTCTTAGAGTAGATAAAATAAAAGAAGAAATAAAACTCTTAATATTTACACGAAAACTCAAGAAAAAATAATAACTACAAAGAATTATAAGAGAATGAGTGGCATTTCATGTTGTTGTATTTGTTCTCATGTCCTTACATTTTAGTGATATTTGTTTTTTTTTTTTTTGGCTTATATGTATTTTTAGTCTCTATATTTTAGTAATTTTTTTTATTTATCCTTCCAAATGATTTTTTAGTTTTCATATTTTAATAAATTATTATTTTTAGTCCTTCTCACTAACGTGGTTTAATAAAAAAAATTGACATTTCACAGTGTTTTAGTAGGCCAAATCAATAATAAGGACTGAAAATAAAATAAAAAATCATTTGGAGAGACTAAAATTAAAAATTTGTTAAAATGAGAGGACTAAATATTTATTTAAGCCTCATTTTTTTTTATATAAACTCTAATGTATTTGTATATATTACAGATATCCATATATCTATTGGACACAAAGTAAACTAGTATGAATATGGAAAAAAGATGTTCGAATGTGAAGTGTAAAATTATCTATATATGTACACAATCTTACATTTCTTTACTTAATAACAAAATATGAATACATTTCATCAAAATGTTTTTAGTCTTCCTCATCAAAAAAATTGTGTATATACAAGCAAAAAAAAAATAAAAAATGTGTACAATATACCAAAACAAAAATATTTTCATGATGTCATATCATTTGAGTTGCAACTTACATTAATGCATATAATCTTTGTAACATGAAAGTAATTGGCAAATAAAACATTCTATATGTTCCCCCATTTTATTTTCCCATTTCAATCTTTTAACATGACAAAAGTTACATTGGGTTAATAATTATACAACAATCTATTTCTCAACCTTTAGTCGTAATTTAATCAATAATTTTTTTGTTTGATAATATTTTTTATTAAACATTACTTTATTGGAGCTAACATAACAAGCATTTGTGTAAGAAATAATTATACACTCTAGATAAAAGCAAGAAATTAACTTAATTAACAAAAAAAATTGAGAACAAAAGATCAATTTAAGTTTGGAATGCAAAAAGCAACAACTAATCTAATGCAAACCAACAACTAATAACAACTAACATAGAAGAAAGATAGTTAAGTTTGAAACTTGTTAGCTAAAAAAGTATAAAAATATGAATTCCTGTGCATTTGTTGACAAGGAATTCAACAATTCCCAGCAACAGTGCGAATCACTTGTTAACATGTAAACAATAAGTGTATTGTGTCGATATAAGTAACAGAGAATGAATAGAATATCATCTTCAAGGATTGTAATCTTTGTACAACAATACACACAAGAATTATTAAAGGAACAAAGTAAGAAATTTAGTATAAAAAATAAAATCAAAATCAAAATGCTTCATAAAACTAGACAACTGGTCACAAAGATTGATTATAGATCATAACAAAAACACAATGAGATAGAAATATAAGAAATAGAGTGGTTAACAATAATAATATGTTCTAAAATCTTACTTCGTGCATAAAACAATATCCTTAACTTGAACCTTCTGACTAAATTGGATGATATAATTCATAAGTATAGGTCCAATGTCATTTTATATTAATTCTGAATTAAAAATATCTTAATATCTTAGGTAATTAGAAAATTAAGATATTTAACTCAGATATAAAAATTTAACCTATTTATCAATCATAAGAAATGCTTCAAATTCATACATTTAAATAGTCAATTAAATGCAACTTAGAATTTAGAAGTGACACAATACAATTCACCGTAAGAACATTGGAATCTTGGTATCTTAACATGCAGTGCTTATGGAAAGTTTTTGAATGTTATTAAACAATTAGATGTCAAAATATTGAAGTGTGAATGCCTAATTAGTGATAAACATTGTTTTGCTCAAGAGTTAGAATGTTGGGATATTATAAAATAAATATTCCATCACATAAAGCTATAAGAGTTCTTGAATAAGGAAGTGGGAACTTTGTCACTTAATTACTTCAACAATAAATTATTTGATATTTCAACGTTCTTTTGAACTTTGATTTCTTTCTTTCATTCTTAGTAGCATATACATTTGACAAAACATCACAACTAATTAATTATGCTATAAAAATATAAATATTAGAATTTTCTTCTTTCCAACAAGATTTTATGTAGAATTAAACAATTAAATTCAATTTTATGCTTTTTTTTAATACAAATTCCTATTTTATGCACATTTAATTATGTAAATCTACTTAAAATGTGAATTTATCACTGATGTCCTCTCTCTCGCCACCTAGCCAAAATAAATATGAGTACTCTTTAACATACTCTTTGTAAAATATTTTTTTATTATTAGATAAAATTTATTGAAAACTATAAAAATTATATGGGTCTCACTTTTTTTTATTTTTAAATTAATATATCTCTTATACTTTTTGAGTTTTCAATAAATTTTAACCAATAATAAAGAGCATATCAAAATGAGTGTGTTAAAGAGTATATACCTAACACTCTTCAAGAAATATTTCTAAACTCCATTTTTTCCAAATGTTAGATTATTTTATTATATTTTAATAGTGCAAAGAAAAAGGTTCGAGTAAAGCTCCAAAATAATGTGTAACTTTGGATCATCAAGTATTGGCCCATATGATCTCTAACACAAATAATTATAATCTCCCGTCAACATAATAGAAAATTTTAATGAATAAAAAATATAGTAATAAAATATTAAATGCTAACAAATGAATGTCTTTTTAATATTATTTTCTATTTTGACTCTACACAAGATAATTTAGTTTGCCTTTTAAATCTCTTATGTCCAATTTATTAATAAACTCTTCAAAACCCTCTTAATCCTACATTTTTAAGTTCTCCTAATTTTGAGAGTTTTGTATTAACTCCTCTTCCTCTTTCCTTCTCTTCTTCTCCCTTTTACCTTTCAAACTCTTTTATTCCTTTTTCCTCCTAACTCCCAAATAAAACTTAAAGGAAATCATTCATTGGGTCAACATCATTCTTGTTTTTATGTTTCATGGATTTGTGATCACATAAAGCTATGTTCAACTTATCCTTATTAGTCTCTAGAGATTTAGTTTTCAAATATAACCACTGGTCAATCATTGTGCAAGTAAGCATCATTATTATGAGAAATTGAATTTATAATTAGTGAACTAAGATATCTATTTGTTAAACTATGCAATGAAATGTACACTACTAACAAATTTTTTATCTAGATCATCTATGTATATTTGCCTAGTCTACATTTATAGGTTTCACACTTTGTAAATAAGAAAATTTTTCATTATATATGTCCTTTTTATATGAATGTATCTATATACAGGGCATATGTAGTGAAAGATGAAAAGAGTTAATCTTCACTATACAATTATATTTATTATTAAGATTAAAAGTTTATTAAAGATCACATATTGTTGGAGATTAGATCATACACATAATCTTGCTCTAATTCCTTGGCTGATTTTGTCTCCATTTTAAGATAGATTGGTCAATTATATACTTCCTAATTTAGAATCATGTAATTATTAAATTGGATGTAAATAAAAATTGTAGGGATAGATTAAATTAGATTAAT